CGCCATGCTCTCATGCCCAGCCCTAGGTTACCCACAGAGGTTCAGGGTGCTCTCATGCCTGGCTCTAGGTTAGACTGCGGAGGTTCAGGGTGCTCATGGCCAGCCCTAGGTTAGACCCATGGAGGTTCAGGGTGAGCTTGAGGTTGAGCTGGAGCCGCATGGACTCTGACCTCCCTTTGGGTCATCTTGGGGCTTCCTGGTTGTCATCAGGATTTGGGGCCTTTGTGGTGACAGGCCCCTAGGACGTCCCATCTCCGTCACCTGCTGCCACCCCTCGTCCTCCACCTCGCCTCCCTTTGCAGTTGGCTGTGCCAGTTCACCCTTTAGCTCTTCTTTTTGTTATTGTGTCAACAGTTCATAAGGGCGTAGACTTTGCCTTCCATGTTTTATATCCTGCAACAGCACAGTTCTGGGCACATAGCGATGCTTATCCTCCTGGGTGAGCTGGCTGCTGGCTGAGCAGGAGAGAGAACTCTGCCAAGGGCCATCTGCCCGTCAGCAGGGCTGGAGACAGTGGGCTGGGGCAGCAGTTGACAAACTGGCCCCCAGGCCACATCTGCCTGGGCCTGCTTTCACATGGCCTGGGAGCAGAGAATCGCCCATACCTTCCAAGAGAGGAAGACTGTGTGTGCAGAGCCTCAGATATGTCTTCTTTAGCCAGTAGTAAAGTTTGTTGACCCTGGGCTGGGGTCTAGAGTGGGCTCGTCACACAGGGTCAGATCTCCCACTTCCTCAGGCAGGGGTGAGTGGGGAAGGGGGAACTTACACCAAGAGGAGAGGGGCCAGGCCCCATTCCTGACCAGGTAGACAGATGTGTGGTCTGTGAATGGAACCTAAGTTAGGGAGAACTGCCTGTGGGAACAGGATTGAAGATCCTAGTTCCCAGCTCAGGCTGTGATGGTGAAGATCAGAGTAAAGAATAAAGCAGCGTGAGATGTTTATAAGTTTTCATCTACATGCTCTTTTTTGTTAAGGTCCTTCTGACTACATCTTGAAGCCTTTGAACGCTTTCTGATAGCACTGGCAGCCTCAGATTAGTGAGGGAAGTGAGCTGAGGCTGGCTGGCGGGGCCATGGTTGAGGAACTCACTGGGTGGACTGACAGTCACCCCATTCTACTTTGGGGTAATTGTAGGTACAGCAGATTCTCTTCTATGAAGACTCGGTCGCGGCCCATCTTTCTAAAATCCTGACCTCCGACCAGCACTCGGTGGTGATCTCCTCGGCAAAGTGAGTGCCGGCCACATGGGGGAGCCAGGGATCCACCACGCCGAGCCAGGGCATCGGGGGCCCAGCCAGGAGGGTCTCTCTAGAAGCATCTTCCCCTGTTTCCTCCCACAGAGTGCTCTGTGAGACGGTGAAGGACTTCGTGGCTCGTGTGGGGAAGGCCTATGAGAAGACGACTGAGAGCTCGGAGGAGTCGGAGGTCATGGCTAAGAAGGTCTGCACCCTGGGCCCCACCTGGGAGGGTGTCAGGACAGAGAGGCACTCCATCCACTCCCTTCACTCCATTTGTTCCCTGTCCAGTGTTCCATCCTGAAAGAGAAGCTGGATTCTCTCCTCAAGACCTTGGACGACGAGTCCCAGGCCTCCTCCTCTCTGCCCACCCCGCCGCCCACCATTGCCGAGGAGGCGGAAGATGGAGACGGGACAGGCAGCAGCTGCGGCTCAACTGTGGACCGCTCGGTGGGGTCAACTTGCCCGGCCCGGCCACAGATATTCCGGCCTCGGGAACAGCTCATGCTGAGAGCCAACAGCCTGAAGAAGGCAATTCGCCAGATCATAGAGCACACAGAAAAAGGTAGGTGGTCTCTTAATGACGAGGGAGCTTCAGGCAAGCGCTGGGCATGCTGTTTCCTCCGAATGTGGTGGCGGAAAGGCAGCCACCGTGTAGGCCAAACCCTAGCAGCCCGAGGGCACTGTGGCCTGTGTGGTTTATGGTTGACCTGAGCCAGCGCCCCCTACCTGAAAGCTACAGGCAGCATTTCTCCCTGCTCCCCTGCTTGGACTGATGTGAAGACTGGAGGGAGAACCCTGGGATCCAGAAAGTGGGAGGCAGAGCCGGAGGGTGCTCCCAGCTGGTGAAAGGGTGCCTAGTAGGCACACGCAGGGGCCTCATTGGAGAAACTGACCCCTGGACGGGGGACCCATTCCCTGGAAGGGACCTAACCCGTGGGAAGTCTGCCAACTTTGGTGCAGCCCTGCTTGACAGGTTCTTGTCCATTTGGAGGTGGGGCTACCCCTGGGGGAGCGTGTTCTGAGAGCCTCGGTGCGTAGAACTGAGGTGCTCTTAGGACACCTGGAGAGGCAGTCCTGTCCATCAAGTCAGTGGACAGAGAGAAGCTGGAGGCTGGGAGCCGAGATGTGGTCAGAGAAATGGGGGGGACCATGTGTCTGAGGCAGGGCTGCTGCAGTGGAGGAGGGAGCCCAGGGCCTGGGCAGGTCATTGACCTGAAGTCCAGGCTGCCAGTGCTGACCATCCTCTACCAGCCCAGGGCCTGGGGAGGCAGGGAGACTACACAGGATGAAAGATTCCCCTGGCCTTTGCTCCCTTTCTCTAGACTCGGTTTGTTAAGCTTTGATGAGAACACTGAAAAGTCACATTGACCTCTGAACTTCATTGCCTCCAACCTTGCTGGGACCCCAGCTCTCTCCTTAGCAAGTCTCTTCCTGGGTCTGCCCTCAGAAACCATATCATATGTCCCACTGGCTTCAGACGCTTTCCTAGCCCTCACCTTTTGCTCTGAGCAGATCCACCTGCTGCTTGCTCCTGAGAGAATAGTAAGGGCGTAACCTCACACTGCACACTGGTGGATGCACAAGGTGAGGCCCTGCTCACATCTCCCAGGGCTGCTTTGGGCTCTCTATTCTTCACTCACCTTCTTGCCATGTCTTCAGCCTCTGGGCCCTTCCCCCAACCTGCTGGCACCGGTGCCCATGGTACTTACAATGTGCTAGGCTCGGGACAGTGCGGACGAGGTAGGAGCTTTGGGTCTAAGCTACAGCCAAGAGGACATTTGAAGAAAAATCAGACTGGAAGACAAAGTGAGGAGTCTCTTGATAGGACCTCCCTCAGCCCGGCCCTGTCTGCGGTGATGTCCTCGGGCTGAACTGCATCATTCTTTCCTTGCAGCTGTTGATGAGCAGAATGCACAGACCCAGGAACAGGAGAGGATTGTCTTAGGTCTCTCTGAGTCAGAGGAGAAAAAGGACCTGAAGTCAGACGACACGGTGTGCTCCAGCGAGAGCTGTGGGGCTGCCAAACACAGGAGCCTCCGCAAAGGTACAGCTGCCAGCCAGGGTGACCCTCACGCTGCTATCGGGCCTGTGGTTCTCAGAAAGCTGGCCGAGAGAAGTTTCAGGGTGCTTTTTCGTTGCACCCTAAATGATGTCAGGAGCACATGGCCTTTCCCTGTACCACCTGTTCTGTGTAGTTTGGTGGTGGGAGGGAGGGGGTCCGTCCTGGAGGAGAGCCCTGCTGCTGAGGGCTAGAACCTCCCTACGCACCCAGACCCAACAGGGCTCAGGGCCTCTCGGCTGCAGCCAGCCAAACGCCATGCACCTGTGAAATTTGCTCCAGACAGAGCTGGCCTTGCCTGGCATTTTCGCTAGGGCATCACCCAGCCCTATGGGCCATCTGCCTGGGTACATTACCCATTCTGGTATAGCCCCTGGCTCTGGCTCCTGTGTGGAGAATTGTCCCTCTCCACTGGCTGTGTGTGCCCCCCCTTGTACCCAGACAAGCCACTAGGAAGTATCTGTCTCAGAATTCACTCCATAGTCATTACCACTCAGAACTCAGCTCGGCATGGGCTCCGCAGCCTTGGGTATGAGTGGGATCTAGCCCCTCTGTGCCCCACCCAGCCTCGCCCTCCAGAGGGCGTTCAGACCCACTTGCCTCTTGTCCTCTCCTCTCCTCTCTCTGGGCCTCTTTGTTCATCTCACCCACCCCACCTGGGCTGACCAGTGGCTTGTAAGCTCCTCACTTCCCCGGCCCCTCCACCTGGCATTTCTCTAATGAACTCTCCCAGTAGTCAACCGTGGTCTGTTTTGGACAGTCTTATGGCTCCGTGTTCTGTTTTTTTTAGTGTCCAAGTCCCCATGTGAGAAGCTCATCAGCAAAGGAAGTTTGTCACTGGGCAGTTCTGCCTCTCTCCCTCCCCAGTCAGGAAACCGGGATGGCCTGCCAGCGCTGAACACGAAGATCCTGTTCCCAAGTGAGTGTCCCTACCCCCAGGTGGTCCAGGGTGGCAGCGCCGGCATGGTGGCCGAGTGTGTGTGCAGGAGGGTGTCAGGCCTGTCACTTTGCCCGGCACTGGGTCTGTGGGAATAAATAAGACCAGTCCCTGTCCTCTAAGAGTTATAAGTGCTTGGGAAGGTAGGTGGAATTCAGAGTTAGCTCATAGTGTGGAAGTGCCCTATTCATTACAGAGGTCAGATGGCACCCAGATCGCCTCCCGGGGGCCCAGGATAGCGTCCTGGAGCAGGGTTCCTCGAGCTGGGTGCTGAGGGGTAGGTAAGAGTTCGCCCGAGTGAACAGGGAGGGTGGGTAGGTTGTGATGGGGACTGTGCGGCCATGGCGCTCTTGCCACAGGAGCAGTTAGCTGCCAGGAGCGCTGCCCAGTCCTTTGTCTCACTGTGCCCAGGATGGAGTGCAGGCAGCTCCTGCTGCTGCTTCCGGGGGCGGGGGACGGGGGACGGGGACTTAAGTCTTGAAAGGAGGCATGCCACACAGGGTTGGAATTGCAAATAAGACTCCCTTATCTGGCTTCAGGCAGAGTCCGGAGGCCTCCTACCCACATTGTCTGCTCCCATTTGTGGTTTAGCAATTTCTAGTGAATCTCCACTGAATAGAGAGGAAGTTCCAGAAGCTCTTGGGAAGTGAGCCCTTGGCCATGAGGAGCTTTCGGTCAGACAGTGGCAGATATCACTGGAAGGCCTGGTGGGCAGCGTGCTAAAGGCAGGGTTCATCTCCGCCGTAAGGTGCGATTTAGAGGCTGTAAACTGATGCGGGCGGCTTGCAGGCTCGTTTATTGCTTATGAACTTAGCCATCTGAAGCTGGTCGGTCACTGGGCTCTGGATTAGTCACAAAATGCTCATTCTGGGGAGCTTTTTACATTTAACAAGAACTGTCTTCATGAGCCATTTTCATACGTGTCTCATAGGTATCGGTTTCTACCACCATTAGGTTTTCTTTTGTTTCATGATTGTGGGTTGATGATTGTGATTTTTGACCCAAGACTATTAATTGTCAAAATTTGGACATGTTTGTACCTTATTTCAAAATGCTTGATTACGTTCTGAGAAATGTGCCCGTCAGCCTCAGATGAGCTTCTGACCAGCACTGTCTCCTCCCATTGTCTCCCTCACAGATGTGCGCGCAGGGATGTCTGGTTCCTTGCCTGGCAATTCCGTCATCAGTCGCTTATTAATTAATGCTGATCCCTTCAACTCCGAACCAGAAAACCTGTGAGTGGTGTGAACCCGGGGCACCTTGGTGAAAGAATGTGGAGCCTGGAAAACTGACTCGTAATTAGAGAAATCGAGAGCAGTTGACTAGGGGACCCTCTTCCCCCCTGTGCCAGCTGATAAGGAATCTAGAAATGGGAAGCCTCAGCTAGAGTGTGGTCAGAAAGTTCCTGCAATGGGACATGGAACAAGGGGACAATGGAATGGTGGGATGATGGGATGTAGCCTGTCCTGGCTCATTGCCGAGTTCCCCGATGGTCCCGAGTCAGTGTCTTCTGAACATACGTCATGCTCTGAGGTTTTGGACAGGTTCAGAAACTTCTGTTGGGAGCTAACTTTGCACTTAGTCTTTGTTGTCATCTGGTAGCCTTGGCTGGCCCCACGTTGGCGTCTCTTCCTGACCACATTTCTTCTTCCTCTTGCTGTTCTGCTCCTTTCCCTTATGTCTGCTTCCCTGTTAGAGCCTCAGTCACAGGTCCCTGGGCTGGAAGCGCCTGGCCACCAATCCCCAGGGAGACACTCTCCTGGGCTGAGACGTGGGAGGAAAGTTCTGGAGCTATTCTATGCTTCCCACACTGTGTGCTCTGCCCAGACCCAAGGCAGCAAGGGCAGTGTAGTGTAGTCAGTCAAGTCTGTTCCTGTGTGTGTACATGCCATTGCAGGCACAGATGGTATTTGAAAACCTGTTCTAGGTTTTCCTTTCTGCTGGCTGATAAGTTCTGGGCGGCTAGTGGCACGCGGCAGTTGGTTAAAAGCTGCCAACCGTGTGTCTGGTGGGGTTGGGTAGAGCCATTAAGAAATGTGTGGTTTGCAGAAACTGGGTTTGGGGAGGCGGAGCTGGCAGTGTGCAGAGTGGCAGCCCTGCCAGGCCAGTTTGCCAGGGAGGGGCCTCCATCCAGACACCTGCTGCCATGGGCTGGCCTGCCAGATACCTGGGCATCCCACCTCAGACCTGCCACTGCCACTGCACCGCCACCTACTCGCCTGTCTGCTCCTCGCCCAGGCCCCTCTCGGGGCTGTGTGGACTCTGGTCTTCACCCTTCCTGACATTCCCTGGAAAAGGCCAGAACAGTTGTCCTCATGTGGGCAGCTCCCCGGGGCCTCCCAAACTCGTATTTAGTTTGTTTCCTTCAATCTGAGATCCCCACGTCTGGCAGCCACGGCCGTAGGTCTGTCTTCGTTCTGTCTTCTTCAGACAGGGGAGACTTCTCCTCCACTTGGGAGACCAAAGCTGCTCTCCTCCACCCAGGCTGGTTATCAGGCCGTAACCCACCACCCAGTACTCGACCATCTGCCTGTGCTGCGATGGCCTCCTGGAGCCTGCCCGTCCCATCTCCCAGGCCCCCTGCCCTGCCTCCTCCAGGCCTTATGCCCTGAGAACACTGTTCAGTGAAGGGAGCAGACACAAGAGCCCCATCTTGTGGGATCCCATTTATATGAAATGTGCAGAGGAAGCAGGTCCATGGAGACAGGATGTAGATTAGTGGTTGTCGGGGCCTGAGGAGGGGTAAGAACTGCTGGCTAAAGGGGATGAGCTTCTTTTTGGGGTGATACGATAATTCTGAAATTGATTGTAGTGATGGTTACATGGCTCTGTCAGTGCATTGAAAATTGCACCATACATTTTAATGAGTAAACTATATGGTATATGAATTATTTCTCAATAGAACTGTTAATAAATGAAGTATGAGTTCTGCCCTCAGGAAGAACTTCCTAGAGGTTGGGGGGCTATGAGTAAAACTGTGAAGTACCGCAGGGCTGTGTTCATTGCTCTGACACCCCTTTGCAGAGAGTATTACACAGAGAAGTGTGTCATGAACAACTACTTTGGCATCGGCCTGGATGCGAAGATATCCCTGGACTTCAACAACAAGCGGGATGAGCACCCGGAGAAGTGCAGGTGGGTGACACCGTGCGCACCTGTCCTTGCGCCTTCCTCATTTCTGCTCTGGTCAGTAAGGTGATTTCTGGAGTCAGTGGGTAGAAGGGTGTGCAGGGTGCTAAGGCAGAAGACACACCCGGAGCCTGAATGCCTTGTCTCTGAAAACGGAGATGTGGACAGAAGCAGGTGAAAGTCCAAGCAGCCAGCCCAGAGGAGGGTTCCCCTAGGGTTGGCCAGGTTGGGGCAAATTCAGCATGAGAAAGCGAGTGACCCTAGTCAGTGGGAATAGGGACTGAGTCTCTTAGGAGAGTTGTGAGTCTGTGATGTTGCTATAAAGGGGCAGGTAACAGCGTGTGCTGAGAGGTGACTATGGCAGAGTCCCCAGCATCATTGGTGGGCAAATCTGTGGGTTCACCACACCAGCTGTCCTGGGCCAAGCCAGGCAGTTTGGGGTCCCCCTCGGGCAGGTCAGTCAAAGGGACTGACTTGATAAATGACAGGGAAATGTCCTGCAGAGACCAGTTGCGTCTCAGGACACATGGGGGTGTGCTTCGTGTGGTATGCTCTGTGGGGGCGACATGGACAGCGTGGGTCAGGAGATGGCAGGCGGGTTACTCCACCTGTAAACCCTACACCCAGGAAAGACGAACACAGCAGTTATCCCCAGCACACACGGGGATTTAGGAGGTTACTTTCCCCTTTATCTCCTTCTGTGCTTTTCAGATTTCGTGTGGTGAGCATGATTTTATAGTCAGGAAAGCTCATGGGTTATGGAATCTTTGTGGGGTTCTACAGTGAGTGTCTTAACTGGTCTACCTTTCAGGGGATGGTTAGTTACTTCCTTGGGAAATGATACTTTTCCTGTCTACAAACATACCTCCGTGCTTACCTTTCATGGGTACTGACAGACAGGAGCATGTTCTTCCTGAAGGGGTCACTGCCGCAGGGAATTCCTGAGTCTGACTCAGTTCTGATCAGATGCCGCCCCACACTGGGCGGCAGCGACTAGTTAACTGTTGGAAAAGACACGACCACGTCCTTTCTGTGCTTTCCTTTCTAGGAGTAGAACTAAGAACATGATGTGGTATGGGGTGCTTGGGACCAAGGAGTTGCTGCACCGAACCTACAAGAACCTGGAGCAGAAGGTCCTGCTGGAGGTGAGCCAGGGCTGTTGGAACTCCTGTTAGCCCTGCTCCTGTGGACCCCTCGGGGGAGCCCCTGTCGCATGGCCTCTCGGGCATTGGGCGGCTTGCCGGTGAGGAAGGACTGGTTGATGCCTGCGTCTCTTTTCTTTCTTGTCCCGCTTCTCCCTTGCGCAGTGTGATGGGCGGCCCATCCCGCTCCCCAGCCTCCAGGGAATTGCCGTCCTCAACATTCCCAGCTATGCCGGAGGGACCAACTTCTGGGGGGGCACCAAGGAAGATGATGTACGTACAGGGGTGCTGGGTGGCATGGGCCTAAACTCAGGTTCGGGGAGGGTGGTGACCAAAGAGGCCTCCCCTTCGAGGAACGTCAGTCACTTGGGGCCCTGATGGAGCATTGGCATGAGGAGTGCTCTGTCAGTGATGCAGAGGGATGCACCACCTTTTTGTACTGGCAGCGGGGAGACAGTCGAGAGCAAGACAGATAGAGTTCCCTGCTCATGCAAAGGGAGGCTGCGTAGAACAGTTGTGATCAGAGACAGGTGTGACGCAGAAGCCGGGCCCAACCCCGACTTGGGGCAATCTGGGAAGGCTTCTAGGAGGAGGGGACATGTATGTTGAGACCTGAAGGGTGATTGGGGTCAGCCAGGTTAGGTGGAGTGTTGAGGGAGGGAAGAGGTACAGAGGCTGCTCCAGGCAGAGGGAGCAGCCACGGAAGTGGCTAGAAGGCGAGGTGGGGAGGAAGTTGATGGCACTGCAGTGGGTGGGGCATGGAGAAGTTGGAGCTCCCGCCCGGTTGTGGGAACCAGGGGGAACTTTGGAGTTTATGCTGAGAACTCTGGGAGGCAGTGATAGGTTTTACCAGGGGGGTGGCTTCCTTTGTACATGAGCGCTAACAGAAATAGCACTAATGGTCACTTCAAATGTGCCGGTTGCTGTTCTGAGACTGCACATACGCAGTCCTCATAACAGCGTCTCGAGGGACATACCGGTATTACCGCACTGTACAGATGAGGAAACAGGAGCAGGGGAGAGAAGTGACTTGCCCAAGGTCACAAGGCTAGTGAGTGGCAGATCTGGGATTTGATCCCGGGAGCTGGCTGCAGGGTCTTAGTAAGGGTTCCTTGTAGCTGCTGCTCCAGTTAGGGTGTGTCACCTCCTGTGGGGCCCGTTTGCTTTCCCTGGTGCAGCAGCCAGCAGCGAGTAGTTTGTGGCGAGTGTTTGGGGAAGTGGGAGCCCAGATCAGCTCTGACTCTGGCCTTTCAGACTTTCGCAGCTCCGTCCTTTGACGACAAGATCTTGGAGGTGGTGGCTGTGTTTGGCAGCATGCAGATGGCTGTCTCGCGGGTCATTCGGCTGCAGCATCACCGGATCGCCCAGGTACTGGCCATGGTCCTGGAGGCAGGGAGGCCCTGGGAGATGGTCTGGCTCACACACACTTGGAGGGGCAGGGCCTGGCCCAGAACCACCATCTCGACACTGCACCCTCCCCAGTAAATGCAGAGCCCAAAAGAATGGGTCCTCAAAATTGGGACTAGCTTATACCCCACCTGAGCTCCTGGCCCTGACTTTCCCTATGAGTGTCACCTGTGTCCTAGCCCCTCTTGCTGAGATAGGATGAGATGAGACGAGACAGGCCTGGCTTGGACTTGGACCCCTACCTGCAGCTTTGAGAAGCGGCAGCCTGAGCATGGGAACGGGCCAAGCCTGTGTGGCCAGTGAAGTGTAGCCTTGCCTGGCTGCTCTGACCCAGCTGGGGAGGGGATGCAGAGTGCGGGCTCCCCCATTACTTAGTTCTGGTGATGGGTTGGGAAGGCCTGTCAGTCTGTGGGGTTGGGGAGAGTGGTGCTTTTATGCACAAAGACCTGGGTGGGAGCTGGTACCCCAGCTGACCTGAACCCTGGGCGTATTGTCCTGTGTGTCCCCTCAGTGGGCTGCTGGGATTTCACTAAAGTCTTCAGCTGTGTTTTGCTGAGAGGACGAGCTATGCATTCTCAACCACTTGGCCACTGGCCTTGCTTTGGTTTTGTGCGTCTGTGCCCAGGGACCCGGTGACTCTTGGAAGCCATGAGTCCTGCCCCTGGGCCTGGTGCTGGGATTTGATTGCGAAGACCTCCTCACTGTGGTCACAGATGCAGTGTTGGGTGAGGGGACAGTGATGGGGGGCACAGACTCTCAGGCTCCCTGAGCTCAGAACGGGATAGGGCTGCTCTGACCTCAGGGTTGGCTGTGGGTGGTGCCTGTCTCCCCGGAGGTTGGCTGCGTGGGCAGGGTTGTAGGACAGGAAGGTTCCTGCAGTGCTCAGTGGCACCCTGAGGCTCCTTGGTTGAGCGTGGTGCATGAGTAACGACTGTGATGTTTGCTCAGTGTCGCACAGTGAAGATCTCCATTCTGGGGGACGAGGGCGTGCCTGTGCAGGTGGATGGAGAGGCCTGGATCCAGCCCCCAGGCTACATCCGCATCATCCACAAGAACCGGGCCCAGATGCTCACCCGAGACAGGGTAAGGGGGCGGCCTGCGGGACCAGGGCTCACCTGTAGGTCACCTGTGTTGCTTCTGTAAGAAGATCTGGGGTTCTAATGATTAGTTCTAGGGACTTATTTTTTTAGTCACCATAATTAAGCCGACGGGACAGGAATTCTTAGGACCGTCTCTTCCCACGTAGAAGGGAGCGTGTCTCCCTGTTAGCCTGCTAGGACGGGGGTGGGCTTGTCAGTAGACACATACTTGTCTCTGGAGAGCAGGAGAAAGTGTGACTCTGGGTTCTCGCCCCCTAGGCATTTGAGAACACGCTGAAGTCCTGGGAAGACAAGCAGAAGTGCGAGCTCCCTCGCCCGCCATCTTTTTCCTTGCACCCCGAGATCTTGTCCGAGGATGAGGCCACCCAGATGGACCAGTTCGGGCAGGCGGCAGGAGCCCTCATCCACAGGTCTGCCCCTTCCCACTGAGCTCAGGGCTCCGCCCATGGCTGGGATGCAGGCCGAGCTCCTCACCCTGACCCCTCGTGCTGGCCCTTTATTTCCGCTGATCGTCTTCCAGAGATGCTCAGAGTTTATGTAGATGGAGGCTTGAAACCCGTGTGTGTTTTCAGAGCAGGCTCGCACAGGTCTGCGGACCTGCCCTGGGTTCCTAGGAGCAGTCCACTTGCTGCCCCCACTTTATGCCAGAGAGCAAGGCGGCGTCTGATGCACGTGTTCCTCCCCCTCTAGCATCCGGGAGATCGCTCAGTCCCACCGAGACATGGAGCAGGAGCTCGCCCACGCCGTGAACGCCAGCTCCAAGTCCATGGACCGTGTGTACAGCAAGCCCAGGACCACGGAGGTGCCTGCCCTGTCTGGTCTTTCTCCTCTGGGCACAGGCAGCCCTCGGGCCTCCTCCATGGTGTCTGTCCTGCTTCTTCCAGGGGCTGAACTGCGGCTTCGTCCTGGAGCTGGTGAGCAACATGAAGGCCCTGCGCAGCGAGACAGAGCTGCTGCTGGCCGGGAAGATGGCCCTGGTGAGCTGGGGCCGGGCTCTCACTGTGGGGCATGGCCATCATGGAACATTTCAGTCCAGATTCCCTGGCCTTCAGAATCTAGATTCATGGTGGGAGAGGCCTCGGAGTTCATGTGATCTGACCATGTGGTTGGGGTGCACACCCTTCTGGCCAGACCTCAGCCCTGTCATCTCTAGCGTGTCAGAGGCCTGTGGACACTGAGGCTTTTGTCACTACAGACAGAACTGTCCCTTAGACACCTATAGGTGGGCTACCATCCCCCAGGCCTGGCAGGCACACAGGCTCGTCGCCCGTCCTCACTCAGCCCTGCAGACCTGGCTGAGGCATCAGCTGGGAAGGCACTCGGGTGAGTGGGCAGGTTACTCAGTGACAGGAGCTAGACCAGGGAGAGGCCCAGAGATGGCCTGGCCAACCTTCTTTCAAAACAGCAGGACGCAGAACACCAGGGAGGCGAGTGACTTGCTGAAGGCCACACAGCTGGAGAATGACCCCCAGGGTCTAATATTTATAGCCCCTGCTTGTCCCTCCAAAATGCCGCCCTGTCCTGGGGTGGGGCAGCGTTTCCTGCGCTTGGTGCGCGGGCCTGTCCTGTCCCTTTTGATGGAGGCCCCATGACACATGGAGGCAGGGGAAGTGTCAGCCCTGTGAGTGAGTGTCCAACAGGCCTGGTTTGCTCCTGTTTGTGAAAGGAGTTTAATTCTCTCCCCCGACTCCCTCGAAGGAAGGCCCTGGGTTTCCTCCTTAGCTGGTGTTCCGGGACTGCCTCCTTGGAGCCCGGCACCGGGGACTGGGTGTGGCCCCAGCTCCTCACTGCTAGTCACCAGCATGTATCTCTTCCCCCACCTGTGGGAGCAGCAGCTGGACCCCCCTCAGAAGGAGCGGCTCGGGGCTGCTCTTGCCGAGATGGACCGACAGCTCCTGAAGCTGGCGGACACGCCCTGGCTGTGCCAGCCCACGGAGCCCAGTGATGAAGAGGTAAGCAGGCCACGGCTTCAGCCCAAGCACCCGGCACCATGGCCCTCCCCTGGTGCCGGCATTCAGTGTGCTCTGTGGGGCTTCGGGGCTAAGATGGTGTCGGTCTTGCAGCCCCTGATACGGCTTCTTGTCTTTAGTCAGGCGCCTTCAAGGCGTGGAGAGAGACGGGCAGGAGGGAGTTGGGAGTTGGTGTCGAGAATGACCCTTGGTGACTGGGGCACCCACTGAAGCAGAACTGCGCACTGACCAGGAAATAGGTGGAAAGTAGGCCGAGCCCAGCCCCGCTGTTTCCCCTACTGTGGACAGCTGCTTGGAAGTTTATTTTTGACAGGGACAGAGTTGGTGTTTGACTCACACTCGCATTTCTACACCCATTTAGAGCCACCCTCCCCCCCACACATGCACACACTTGCCACAGGCTCTAGAGCTGGGGCAGACGGGATCCCGGGCACACTGCCCCTGGGATGCAGCCTCCTGCAGTGGAGAGCAGGCAGGAAGAGCCCGGAGTGCCGGCCGAAAGGTGGTTTCCATGGGCAGTGCACGGACAGAGGCAGACCCTCCTCTCAGGGACAGCGGACAGAGTGGGCCAGGAGCGAGGTTCATCCTGGGGTGGCACATTCCCCAAGGTAACTGCTGGACACTAGACGTTGGTTTGTTCAGACCTGCTGGCAGCAGTGGGGTGAGGGCACAGAGGGCTCGCAGCGGTCAGTCCAGCGCACCCTTCTCCGGATGCATGGAAAACAGACTCAGGCCCTCGGGCAACAAAACCCAGCCCCTTCAGGATGAAGTCGTGTTGATGGAACGATAGGCCAAGCCCATCACAGAGGCCTAAGTTGTTATTTAGATAAAATGTCCATTGGAAAGAAAATTACTAAAATAACTATATATAAAGTACTCAACATGCAATAGTACCATAGCCCTGTGATTCCAGGTTAAATTATCCCAGCCGGGGAGGCGGACAGGGCAGAGGAACGAGAGCTCCTTAAATTCCTCCCTCAGGTGGAAGAAGGTCAGAGAAAAGTTCTCCACCTTGGTAATTAGGGAAACATAGTCCGTAATGTTTTTTAAAAACGTAAAAGCAGTTTCTAGTAGAATTGAAGAGATGTTATCTTTCCAAATCACTACAAAGGACAAAAACAAAATATATTGTAAAAGAAAGTCAGGAGCTAGTATATAGCTAATAACATAAAGATAAGCTGCAGAAAATGGTGCCGATTCCACTCTTAAAAGCAAAGTATTCTCAGATTGTGTTAAAAAAGAATTCTAACCATATATCGGTCAGAGCCCCGTTTTTCTCCCATACCCCCAGTAAAAATTTATGACACAGAAAGATTAAAAATAAACAATTTTCAAGAAAACCATAGAAGAATTCCAAAGTAACTATTAACATAAAAACAGAGTTGCATACCTGAGGCAGTAAGTGATCGAAGGGGATCACTTTGTATTGGTAAAAATATAATGGCTTATTTTTTAATCCTCTATATTTTTTCCATTGGTTTTCAGAGAGTGGAAGGGGGGAGAGAGACATCGATGTGAGAGTGCTCTGCGGGGCAGTGGCTGAGCAGTAGGGACCGTGGCCCCGGGCCTCACTTGCTCCCCTCCTGGGACTCTTCCTCGGGCACCAAATCCAAGGAGAGAGTGCAAAGCCCAGGAAGCTGCGTGTGACAGGTGGTCACAGTCGCCCGTGCACACGAGCAGTTGGCTGAAGAACCTGTTTAATAACCTTCTTGTAATGATGCTGATGTTTCAATAATATTTACAAAGCTTTTTAATCACATGGGAAGTGCACGTTATAAAATGAAAAATAAAATATGTAAATACCGTAGTCACTGTGAAACCACTTTTAAAAGGCATTAAAAATAACAATAAAAACGAGACTAAAAATCAAGGGAAAACACAAAAGTAAGTCTGGAACAGAGCATCTTCTCCAGGCCGCCTCTGATCCGGGTGTGGTCGGTCTGGTGCCCAGGTCTGATTCTGTTTCCTGCTTTCCACGCAGAACATGCTGTCGGACCTCTCCAAGCGCGGCCGCAGCGGGAAATTCCGCCTGGTGACCAAGTTCAAGAAGGAGAGGAGCAGCAGGAACAGAGAGGCGCACTGCAGCCTGGGAGCCCCGGGTACCTGCCTCCTCTCCTGGCCCTGCTCCCAGCCCCCGCTCGCCCCCCGCTTTCTCCTGCGGCCCCACGGCTCCTCCCCAGCCTCAGACTCCCCACCCCCACGGCCTGCGCCAGCCGTCTCTCTGTTGCTACAGAACTGTGCCTCGCTTTCCCCTCAGTGCTGGATGCTGACCGTTGCCATTCCCAGCCCCAAACGCGTTCCCCATACAGACTCTGGGTGACTGGCTGCCGAGCCACTGGCCTGTCCTGGGTTGGGGGTACGAGGTGGGGGTACAGCAGAGGTGACGAGACAGAGACACGGAGCTCACACTCAGGCCTGCTTCCTCTGTGGGGCTGCTGATCACCTTTTAATCAGTTCACTGATCCAGGCCCATGCGCCTCTGGGACCTGCGCCACCAGCTCTTGGGGTGGTGAAATCAATAGAAAATGACACTAAAGGATGGTTTTCCTTTGGGTCCATGAATTGGGGCTTAAAGTCTCCATGGGAAGGGTCAGCCCTGAGCACAGCGGTCCCCAGTGCCCTTGGGTGCCGGCTGGGGCTGTGCCCTTCGATTCTCCTCCTTTGCATGTTTGTACAGAAATTGGTGTTTTTTTAATCACAGTGGCTCTGACTACATGAAATCTCTGCCTGTCTCCCTTCCTGCTGTGGCTCGAGCTGAAATGAACCCTCTAGAGCAGCGATTTTCAACCGCATGCCACAAGAATTGTTAAAATGCGCAGCACCTATTTTCGTTGGAGGCCCTGACCTCTTTTCCTTAGATTGAAAAAAAAAAAAAAAGACAACAGCCAGCACAATAGCCGTCCCGTGTGAGTGAGTCAAAGTTATACCTATTTTTTTGGTCAGATGGGCAAAAAACATTTTTTGGTGCCACAGAATTTGGTAATTAGTTTGTGTGCCATGAAGTGAAAGGGTCGAAACTCGCTGCTCTAGAAGGTGGACGGAAAGCGGCTTCAGCTGCAGCCCGACCCAAATTTTCCTCGATTTGGTGCCGTCCGCTCCCTGTGGGGACATGGGGAACACCGACTTGCAGGGACAGACACCAGCTCCTGCTGCAGCTACGCCCTCGAGAGCCGGTGGCTCCCCTGCCTCTGTCTGCACAGCTCAGGGCAGCGTCAGTTGCTGGGGTGTCTTGGGTGCCAGCTGCTGTGGTCTTTTGGGGTGCTTGCTGCTGGGGCATCAGGTGGTGACTGCTATGGTTTTGTGGTGCCCGCTGCTGGGGCATCTTAGGTGCTGGCTGCTGGGGCATGTGGGGCATCTTGGGTGCCTGCCGCTGCCTACAGGTGCTGGGCGCTGGCACTCACTGCTCTCCTGCTTTTCCGTCTCTGACAGTTCACCTCTGGGGGACAGAGGAGGTGGCTGCCTGGCTGGAGCACCTCAGTCTCTGTGAGTATAAGGACATCTTCACTCGGCACGACATCCGGGGCTCTGAGCTCCTGCACCTGGAGCGGAGGGACCTCAAGGTACTCCCACATCTGGCTTCCAGCCACTCCATCTGTCCCCTCCTTCTGACCTGGCCATGTCCCAGCATCGGGATTCTCTTTACAGTCCTTCTTGGTCCTTTGTGCATGACTTAGGGTGACGTGCGCAACTCAGGGTGACGTGTGCGGTGGCCTAGGCAGTGATGTCTCCGCCCACTGAAGCCAGATGGAGCCTGGGTAGACATGGGGGAGCCTTGCTCTGCTGAGTCTGGCTGGGCACTAACCATTGTCATTGAAAGCTCTGTGGTGAGGGAACCCAGCACCCTCTATTGGTGACATAGTCGATTAGACCCCATGGCTGCTGGGCCGTGGAGGCTTCTCCAGCGCAGTCCTACTCGCCCGTGTCCACGGGCTTACAGGGTGGGCCTCACCTGGTCTCGTCTCGGGAGGGACGGGAGAGGCAGCGTTTTGCCCACACGAGCACAGTCCTGGGGCCGCGTCCTGGGCAGTGGTGCTCCAGGTGCTGGTTCTACTTGCTGCTGGCCTGGGCATGGGCGTCTTGTGTGATATCCCCTCAGCGGGTCAGTGGTGGCTGGTCACATGTGGGGTGTGCTGTATGCTGTCCCTTCTTACGCCGTTTCTTCCTTCTGGTGTCACCATTTCCCCCCATTTGTGCAGAGTTGCTGGGTGGCCCCTGGTGGCGCCCACGGCCTGGCTCGCTGCCTGGAGTCAGGGTGGCTGTGCTCTCATTTCAGGACCTCGGCGTGACCAAGGTGGGCCACATGAAGAGGATCCTGTGTGGCATCAAGGAGCTGAACCGCAGCCCCCCTGCCACCGAGGCCTAGCCTCTGCCCTCTCGGCCTGTGTGCTCCGCTCCTGTGACTGAGCTGGGAGCGGGCGCGGCCCGGCCTTCTCATGGTGCTACTTCCACCCTTGTGCTCGCGACGGGAAGCCTCAGACACGGTCTCGGACACCAACATAGCTACCTTTGGACTCGCCCCTTTCCAGCCCAGTGGCGTGTGGGGTGACTGGGCCACCACCTCTCTGCTCTCACTGACCGGCGTCCTGGGCCAGGTCCCGCCTCCCTGGCCTCGGGTGTCGCTGGCTGGGCCGCACACGAGTGTCCCGCCGGCTCCTCTCTGCGCCCTTTCACCGTGTGTTGTGTGGCGCTGTCTCCCAGTCGGCTCTGGAGTTAGGGAGCAGACCGCGGTCCCTCACCAGGAGCCTGTGCCTGCCAGCTGCCGTGGTTCTCCACAGCTGTCCTGCGAGGCTGCCCACTCGGACGTCCCCGTTTATTAAGGTCCCGCCTTCCTGGTTCGGAGGCGCCATGGGTGCATTTCCGGTCCTGTCCATTTTAATTGAACGCAAAAGGAAGGAAAACGTGCTCCTCCTGGGCCAGTGAACAGGTGGCCACATTCTTGGGCTGACGGCCCCACCCCGCATGTCTCAGGTCCTCCCGAGCTGCGGGCCTGGGGAGACGGTCCGTCTGTCCAGGACACAGCCTCCTCTGAGCACTGTGGCCAGTGGCCTCCCCGACAAGGGAGGCTGTAAGGCACTGGGTCAGAGTTTCTGTGGAGACAGCACATCCCTTCTGTGGGACAACAGGCTGTTACCTGGGCAGAGCGGCCTCAGGTGGCAGCCTGGGCCGTCCTGGGAGCCTCTGACCCTATGGGTGGCTTCTCCTCTCAAGTTGTCAGGCCCTAGGTCCCTGGAGGTGTCCACAGCTCACTGGGCTCTCCATGTCATCTCTGCCTTTGACTTGGCCCCTTATGGCCCTTCCAGAGACGGCCACACCTCACAGGGCTCTCGCCCACCCTAGAAAGGGGGTTCTGTAACCCCCACCCCAGCCCTGGGTGCAAGGGTCCACACCCCAAAGAGGAGGGCTGACCATGTAAGGGGACTGGGCAGGAGGCCTCAGGGCACTATCCAGAGTCACCCGTAGGGGCCCCTTCGGGACTCAGCTGAACAGCATTTACCTGCCACTCGCTTTGCAGCCCCATTTCCAGCTTCTCTGATCAGTGAGCCCAGTGGGGTCCCCTCCCCGGGCTTGGCCAGGCACCTGACCCTGGTTTGGGGGTGCTCCCACTGGTGGCTCTGTGGCAGTGTTGGGGTGGGGGTGAGAGCCCCGTGTTCTGCACATGCCCTCGGCTGTGAGACCGGCAGTGGCGTGTGGTGTGCGGCCTTCCGTGCCCTGCGCCTCCCTTCCCATCGGAACAGCTATAAGTGGAGGAAGGTGGGGAGAGACTCTGGCCCCAGAAATCACCCATTTCAAAGTAGAGATCGTGGGGCCCCAGAGCAGGCTGCCCGGTGTCTGGGGCAGGGCCCTGCATTCTGAGGCTCAGGTTTGGGTCATGCGTGGTGTTTAAAATCAGTATGTCGTCAGTGATTAAAGCAGCACTGTTTACGTAAAAGCCATTTTTCTAACTCTTGTCAGAAGCAAAAGGAATGAAAATGAGTTTTGCATGAAGGTGCGTCGGTGAAGGGCGGGCGTCCGTTCCTCGTGGTGTCTGTGGCTGCCCCCTGCTGTGTCCGGGGTGGGGTGTCCTGTCTGTGGGGGAGGGAGGAAGGGTCCCTGGAGAGTCTTCGAGGGAAGGTTTTGTGTCCGTGGGTGGGGCTCGCCCTCATATTTATGATTATTTATACAGTGCCCGCCGTGGAGCCAATGCCTGCTGTGTTGCTATGTACATAGTCCACGTTGGGGTTGTAAATACGTTGTGTGTGTAAATAAAACAAGCTTGTTTTGGATCTCTCGTCCAAGTTCTTGTCCTCGGTTCCTGTGCTTGGACATAAAACACTGGTTGCCAGAATCCTTCCAAACTGGATCAGGGTTACATTTTTTAGCTGCTCTAAAAATAAGTTGGACTTGTTCATCGTAAACTTTTGTGCATTAACTTTAATTTCCGAAAGTATTGTATTGAGAAATGGTCCTGCTCGCTTACTGAGTTTTGGGTGCCTTTACGTTTTGCGCCCAAGGCCTCACCTTTCCCTAGTGCCAGTCCTGTGCTCTGAAATCTAATTTTGAGTGTTAGCAGCTCAGGCTCTCCTGGCTCCTGTGAAGCCACTGCTTTATGCCTGTAAATACCAGTCAGCTCTTTCCCTCCTGCATCATCGGGGGAGGGCGGGCACTGTGCCCAAATATGCTCCTGCCACGGTGGCTGCATCTCCAGTCTCTGCAGCTTGACTGATGTGACTGACTTTTGGTCAGAAAGATACAAGTGTTAACTGGGGTTTCCAGAAGGTTTCCTTTAAAACGGGAGCGTGCCTGTCTTGCCTCCTGCCGCTGGCCTGGGCCGCGGGAAGGCCTTGGGAACGGAAGTATGGAGGGTGGCGATGTCGTATGGGAAAAGCAAAAGCGCAGAGACACGAGTCACACCCATTATGCAGGCGGGAGCCAGGGGCCCCTTCAGAGAGGGGTGAATGGTGCAGGGAAAGCTTCGGAGCGGCCGGGGCGCACCTGGGCAGGTGGGCGCGGGGTGGCCACCTCAGCGGAGGCGCGGTTGGGTGCGCCGAGGTGGGCAGCAGAGGTCACCCACGCCGGGCGATGGCAGCTCTGGCCGCATAGCCCAGCCGGGGTGCTGGCCTTAGACTGGGGTCTGCGCCCGGCCAGAGCGAGGGCCTGGCCTCCTCAGTTTTGGTCACAGAAGCAGCAACAGGCTGCAGACGCGTGGAAGGTGAGCAGCTGCTGGGAGGCAAAGGCCCCTCGCCCACGATGTCCCCAGAGGCAGATTCAGCCCGAGTCCCCTGAGCTTGGAAGGAGATCGCGCTGCTGGGCTCCACGCTGGCTCCCAGGCACGTCGCTGCGCAGGCCTCCAGGACGTGCCTCAGGCAGGCAGTGCCCAAGCGTGAGGCCCGCCCAGTGCCCATGTCAGGTGCACCCACAGGTGGACGGGCGTGTGAGACTTTCTGGAGCAGGACAGGGCACCCAGCGCAGCTGGGCAGGGAGCTTGTGCGACCTTTAGGTGCTGGGGCTCTGACTGCTGTTTCCTGGAAGAGAGGTTCACTGTGGCCCCCCCACCCCCCACCCCCCGTCCTGCTTCCTCCTGGGTTTACCTATTGTTTAGCCAGAGGTTGAACCGTGAGGTCACATCCACTGGACCCAGCCCAACAGAACGTGTCCCATTGAGACCTGGTGGGAGCAGGAGCTGGTGGAACTCTAGGTCACCGGCCTTTGGAGAGGGACACGGGTGGCCAGCTGGTAGGTGGACTAGCTGCTGATGTCACGTTGGGTGCTGTCACCTTTCTTGTTGCTGTGTGGGGTCTCTGTGGGCTGCACCACTCTCCCTCCACTGTCATTTGAGTGGAACGGGCAGCAGGCTGGTCAGGGCAACCACTCTGAGCCAGTGGGTGTCAGGCCCAGGACTTTTCCAGGTCCCTGCAGTGAGGCAGGTCTGACGGTGTCAGTCTGGAGCTGGTGGCATCTCGCCACCTGGGGAAAAACTCGGAGGTGGAAACCAGCCCGGAGGGAAAGGCACCAGGGCCTGGACCAGCTGCAGCAGCTGTGCTGTGGGCTGAGGTTCATGAGCCAGGGGTCCTGCTTCCCTGTGG